CCCAAATTTCAAGACTGATTCACACGAAATTTCCCACAAACCCATTTCTCCAGTCCCAACCTCCTTTGACCCGTTATCACCTTCTCTGTCTGCTACCATTCCACACATTCTTATTTTTCTCACGTATTGTAAAGCCACCATTTGGGCAAGACCCATCAACTTTGCATATAATAAAACCGTGTTTTTCTCATTATTTCTTACCCAATTAAAAATTACAAACCATCTTGCAATTTGAACCAGTCTTCCCCACTTTCACCAAAATATTATTATTATTAAAGAAAATTTCAAACCCTTCGTTCCAAAGCCTCTGCCATTTATATAGCCATATACAAATTTTCTCGATACATATATACACTTTCATTCGGATAATTTTCTCTCATCTTATAATTCTTTTCCTCCATACATCACAACCTTAAAATGAACGACTTGTTCTCCGGCTCCTTCACCCGCAACAGCGACCAAGCCTCGCCGGACCACCACCACCACGTGGTCGAGATGGCGGCGGTGGAGGGCGGCGTGAACCTGGAGAAGTTCTTTGAGGAAGTTGAGCCGGTAAAAGCAGAGTTGAAAGAGCTAGAGCGTCTCCATGAGAACTTACGTGGTTCCCACGAAAAAAGCAAGACCCTTCACAGTGCTAATGCTGTGAAAGAGCTTCGCTCACGCATGGACGCTGATGTAGCACTGGCTTTAAAGAAAGCCAAGCTCATCAAGGTTCGGCTCGAAGCTCTGGACCGGTCCAATCAGACAAGCCGAAACCTGCCTGGTTCTGGACCGGGTTCTTCCTCCGACAGGACCAGGACATCTGTGGTGAGCGGATTGAGGAAGAATCTGAAGGACTCCATGGACAACTTCAATAGCCTTAGGCAACAGATATCGACGGAGTACAGGGAAACCGTGCAGCGGAGATATTATACTGTTACCGGAGAGAACCCTGATGACAAAACCATCGACCTTCTCATTTCTACCGGTGTGTATCAATTTTCAAATTTTTGTTTCATATATGGTCGTGTTTACGTTTTTCATGTTTTTGTGTGTTTGGTTTATAGAATATTATGGTTTTTTGATGATCAAACATTAATTAGAATCTTAATAACACATAATTAAACAGTATCCATTATAATTTCACCTATAAATATATATATATCAACCACCAACTAAACATTTATCCTTTAGATATAATATATGTTTGACTTTGTTTAGGAAACACATATAATTGATATTCGAAGACATGGTACAAGATTTGAAACACGAAACGAAACATGAAGTTAAGCGTTGTACTTGTTAACCATGTTGGAACAGGTGAGAGTGAAACATTTTTGCAGAAAGCGATTCAGCAGCAAGGTAGAGCGAGTGTGATGGATACGATCCAAGAGATTCAAGAGAGGCACGATACAGTGAAAGAGATAGAGCGAAACCTGAAGGAGCTGCACCAGGTCTTCCTAGACATGGCTGTGTTGGTGCAGTCCCAGGGAGAGCAATTGGACGACATCGAGAGCCATGTAGCACGTGCCAACTCGTACGTGCGAGGTGGGGTCCAGCAGCTCCAAGTAGCAAGGAAGCACCAGAAAAACACGCGAAAGTGGACCTGCTATGCCATCATTTTGCTCATCATTATCACTTTGATCATAGTTCTCCCCATAGTTCTAAGAAATTAATTGTTATTATTATTCCTCCCTCTAGTGGTGGCTGCCAAGAACGTGGACCGGTTCAAACATCGTTGTTATTATCTTATTATAGTCAAGTCTCGTGTAATGTTTTTGGTCATGTTTTCTAAAATTTTCCACGTTGAATTGGTACCTGTTTGAAGATTGAGATGTTTTGGTCGGGTTTCTAGAAGGCACGAAGAGGAACTTGCAGAAGCAGTTTTATGGAGGTGGTATATTCTTTTGCAGATATCTATGCATGTATATATTACCTTGTTATCTGAAAATTTATTAGGTAGCTTTATGAGTGAAGTACTATAGTGATTGTTTTGTTTGTTCATTTGTACAAAGGAGTTGCACCATTATTCATAGCATGTTGCTTTTAGCATATTCCTTTCTCCTTTATTGAACCATTTGATTGGTGATTCATGGATTTGGTTAACATCTTCGACGAACTCCATTCTTTAACTTCTCTTTCTGAGTTACCCACATCAATGACTCGTCCATTAAGATTTTCACTCAACGTTGTACATGTTACATAAAGACATGATAGTGAACTAAATACTTTATGACGATGTTAGTTCTAATAAAAAATTTTTAACTTTTATGATGGCTCTGAAAATAACTTCCATAAAAAGTTCTAATTCTAACGATACTCGTTACCATCATTCACTCCATACTTCGCTTCCTTTAATAAATCAAAATTCGTAACCTGAAAATAAGAAAAACAGAAACAGAGTGAGGGAGACTCTAAATGGTCATTATTAATTAGAGACTTTAAACATTAATTCATTAAATAACCAAATCTTACTAATGTTAATAATTAATTTAAAAATTAATTCACAAATTAATAATAATTTTTTATTTATACTAAATATTTTTTTAATGTCAATAATTTTAAGTTTATAAATTAATATATAAATTAGTCATTATAACAATTAATTATTTTCACTTTCTAAAATTGGTTGCTATTTAAATATTTTATTATAGTATGAGAGGAAGAACAATGCGAGGAAAAAGAATAATTCAAACATAATAATGAATTATAATGAAAAGATGAAAATTAAACATTTTATATCATTTAAATTGAAAAATTGATATAATATCTGTTTCTTAAATTTAAAATAATATACACATTTTTTTTATCGATTCTAAATACAACCGACACTTATAATTTATTACAAAATTATTACCGTACTCATTTTTTATGGGGGTTTTAATGATAATCGGCACAAAAAAAATCTTATCATATTTATAATATTTATAATATTTATAAATGTGTCAATACGTTATTTATCATATCGGGCGTTTAAGTCCTTTTAAAAAACTAAAATTCTTTTTATCCTACAAAACATAAAGTAGAAAATGTGTGTTCCCATTTGTAAGTTTAGTATGAAATAAAAAAGATTGTATTAAGCATAGACTATTTGAATCTTATATCTATCCAAGCCAAAAATAAATAAATTAATTAAAAAATATATTGAATATTAATTCATTAAGTACACTAAAAGAAAACGTGAATTTAATTTTAAAATATTAGTTAGTTAAATTGCAGCATTGTTATCTGTTTTGTCGCCTTTAACACAACGGAGAAGATTAATCTTTTCAAAACATAAATAAAATTATTTTTAGCCTTTTTTAGTAAATAAATATTTGGATTAGAGTAAGATTAACGACAATTAACTAACTTTAATAAAATTCACTTAATATTAAACAGTAATAGAGTTGACTTAAAATTATATTAATATCACGAACCTCTTAACATGGATTAGTGTAAATTGAAAGTGAACAATTTTTTTTAGAAGGAGCTGCCTATTAGGAACCGTCTATATGACAAAAAGTAAAAGTCAATGTACAAATGTTGCATGATAGTAACATAGGTACACACTATATATATATATATATATATATATATATATATATATATATATATAATATGTAGTCATTGAAAAAAAAAGTACATTATTATAATGTATTTAAATAATTCCAAATGTCCTACATATTTTTAAATTCTAAAAATTTACGTTCTCAATAGCGACGTATCTATTGAATTATATCTAGAAGAAGTGGTTGAGAATTTTCAAATATTCGCAATAATTATTAAAAGGAAGTTTAACTTAAACTTAATAAGAAAGAAAGTTGTCTAAAACTTACTTGTAACTAATAATTTGTACCATGAATTATGATTATACTCAACATTTCACATAGTAAACGAATTTATAACCACCTTATAGATTACGTAGATTTTAGCTTAAAATTTGATTATCGAGTTTCTTGAAGCCATCTTCCATAACTAAATTCAGCAGACCTGCATCATCTAAACAAATATGAATCTGCATGAAACACCAACCAAACCATTCATAGGAATTGCTACAACCAACCAAATATAACCCCACAAAGAACACCTATAACCATCAAGGTCCAACCAAGATCTTTGATCCTTTCCTTACCGAAAGCTTCCACATCTTCTGCACCAAAAGCCAACCAAGAAAGCTTCCAAGATTCATTCAATAATCAACAAAGAAACATCCTACAAGCCTAACCAAGCAAGTGCAAGTCATTGGTCATAGATTCATTGCTTGGAGCTTAAGACAGTAGGTTCTTTTCAAAGGGCAACCTTCCAAGATTATCATCCAAGATTCATCTAGTAAGAAAAACATCAACTGTTTTACTAAACAATAAGGATATGTGAACATATGCATATTTTTGAGTCACAATTCTTCTAAATATAACGTTAGGTTAAGGAAGAAGTATGTATCCCCTCCCCAAAAAATAAAATCAAGCTTACCTTGGCCATTTCTGAGTGCAAGGCTGCCTTGAATGTCCTATATATTTGTAAGCATGAACAAGGATGCTCTAGATAGGCTGTAACATGAAAATAAAAAATTAAAGAGAATGATAAATAATAGTAGTCGACTGAAGACAACATTAGAAACAAAAACAGTTTGCTCATTCCAAATTGGTAACAATGAAAAATGCTCATACCTGAATAAATTTTCAGTGTATTACTTATGATTGCTTTAGTACTATTATTAAATACATTTCTTCTACAACCAATGGGATAAATATGATTGATTTCCAGCATCCATCAAATTGATTTATGACCAAAATTCTGAAAGCATTCACTTGAAGCGACTAATATATATGTTATATACATTAGCACAAAGGGGGTTGTTTGTTTCAAGGCATGATATCATGTTCTTTCTAGGAATATAATGACTAATTTTATTCCTGTGAATATTTAGAATACTGTTGGATAACTTTTAATATGTCTAGAAAAGTGTTTTAAATAAAAGTGAAAGGCAGAGTATACCTTGTTTCTGGCGGTAGGGATGATTGTCGTCCAAGTGGTTTTTGTCCTTGTCAACAGAGGAAGCTTGAAAGAAGGAACATCTGGAGGACAAGTGAACAACTCGTTCTTGTCAGCAAGGATGATAGTCCACAGCAAGGAATGTAACTGCTTCTACAAATTGGGATTCTCGTTAATCCTAAATAGTTAGTTTTACATTTTTAATTTCTAAATTTTAAAGTAATAGATCAATCAGTTATTAAAAATCAATCCTACTGTGCCTTCTATACTGCATTCATTACTTTTCTAAGGACAATCAGCATAAGGTTTTGTGACTTTTGGTTTTGATCTATTTTCCCTTCAATTTCATTACAGTACTACAGTTATCATGAAGTCCATGGACCCAAATTAACGTCCAGTATTGTCAATAATGCAAGGTATAGTTGGTGTAAGCCAATATGACCAGCAAATGACAGTAAATGTGAGGAAGATCACATTACACAGATTTAGATGAACATAAACAACTTTGTGGGTGAATAAATGATCAATCCCATACCTCAGATGCTGACCCTAAACACCATTTCCATGCTATCAACATTACTTGTATTTTGATGAATTATGGGAGGAGATAAAGTCCCCTTATCCTGCAGCTAGATTCAGTCGTAAGGGCCTGCCTTGAACTTCCTAGAACAGTATATTACACATACAAAGACAGTGGTTACACAGTTAAATTAACATCACAAGATGAACTCAAACTATCAAAACAAATCAACCAAAATTGTTCATACCACTCCATACATAGAATTCAAAGCAGCCTCTACATCCTCAGCAGTTCGAAAAGAGACAAACCCATATCCCTGAGACTTCCCACTGTTCCTTTCATAGATGACTTTGGCACTTAGGAAGCCTGGCAGCTCAACAAAGGCATCTCTAAGACACTGTGAAGTCACACCCCAACCAAGGTTTCCAGCATAAATCTTGTGAGGGCTGTCTACAAAGCCTCTATAGTTTGAACCCATTACTCTCCATTTTCCTTTTCTGGGTATTTCTGCGACGTTTACCTTAATAATCCTACCTCCAATTTCCTGTTCATCATCACAGCCATTACCATCAGATGAATTCTGTTCACTTGTATAGCACAGCAAACAACTGGATTAGGATGACAACTCCTCACAGAAAACTGAGTTGGCATAAAAAGCTTTTCATGGCCCAGCAATGGCATTTATGGCCTTTGATATTTCCTAAATCAAGACCCAACATCATAAAAAAAGATGATATATATCTCGTAGATAATGATAAAAAGACATGGAAAACTGAATTTTGATCAAACTATTTCATAACCAGGCCTTGATTATGCACCAAGTTATAACTCTAGTCCCTAAGTCCGCTTCCATCTTCACCATCTACAAAAGATAACTGAATTACCACCAATATGGCATAATAAGACAAAATAAACTCAAACTCTAATTCCAAAATACTCACGTTCCTTTGATTTTCCCATCAAAGGTTACAATCCGACCTTTACCTTCATTCAACAAAACAAATTCTATCTCATAATACATATAAATAGAATAGTCTAGATAGTAGCAAAATGAAAGAGAACCCTCCTTTGACATCTGGACTACTTCATTTTCAACGAATCACTCATCTGAAAATTTTCGACATTACAGTATGAGTAAGACTTACAGAGCCATCAAACATTCGAATTGCACATTCAGCTTCCTCCACGCTCCCCATTGTAACAAACGCAAACCCTCTACTTCTATCCGTAATGTCATCATACACAATCTACATATTCAACCACAAAAATGACAAAAGAGTCACAAACACAATCCAAACTATTATAACCAAAACACCCCAAAAACCAAAAACCTTAAATCTACGTATCAAACCATCCAAATCGAAAAGGGTTTCAAGAAAAAGAAAAAACTAAAAAATTCACAAACCTCAACAGATACAACATTGCCAGCCTCTCCAAACCGCTGAGCCAACTGAGAAGAGGGCAACGAATAAGGCAAGTTTCCCACAAAGAGTCTCGCTGAATGGTTGAAGAGTGAGGCATTTGGCTCTGTTTTTTTCAGGGTTTCATCCTGTATGGGGTTTTGAGTGTCTTGGAAGGAAACCAAAGACAGGGGAAGATGGCAAAGTGAGATCGCAGAAGAAATGGAAAATTGTGGCTCGAGGTTTTGAGGTTTGAAGGATATGACAGTGTGGGAGAAGTTAAAGGATAGTGAACTGTTGAAGATAAGGGAAGAAGCAGCCATGGAAAACCAATTTGCAGTATGAACGTTCCTCGGTATGTTACAGGTTTGGAAAAAATAAGGAACTATTTGTAAATGTAACTATGTGGACCTTAAGATTCGAATGGATATGTTGCTTGTTAGAATTCGCTTTTGAAATAAACATTTAGCTTGGAATAAAATAAACATTTATTTTGTATAATTAAAATTTATAATAGATAAATAATCTTAATTATATATGACTTATATTATAATTGAAATTTATTATACACAAATATTTTTTGAATACACAAATTATATTTTATGATTATGATAGATTATTTTATGTAATGATACTTTTTTTTATTTTTCATTGCCGATAATTTTATTAAGGTTTAATACTCTATTTTGTCCCCAGTTTCGTTCGAAAATGTCAAATTAGTCCATTCTTTAAAAAATGCGTTAATTACGTCCTCACTTAATAAAATTTGCATCTGCTTTTTCTGTGCAAGCAGCAATTTTTTTTCTCTCTTCTAGTATTCTTCTTCTCTCTCTTCTACCAAATTATGAGTGTCTAGCCTTCTGTTAGAATTACATTATGAACCTGGTCCACTATGAGTTTTTGCATAAAGCTTTGTATCAGAATTTTGTATGGAACAAATAGTTGTTCAAAGGACTCTCAAGGATCATTGACAAATAAAGAGAAACATTTTACAAATCATTTTATAGTGAGTTTGCTTACCTTAGCAGGTAAACAAATCATTTTATAGCCTTGGAATTCTTACCCTGCTAAGAATTCTCCCGGATGGAGTGGTGTCAATGATTTGTAAAATGTTTCTCTTTATTTGTCAATGATCCTTAGAGTCCTTTGAACAACTATTTGTTCCATACAAAATTTTGTACAAAGCTTTATGCAAAAACTCATAGTGGACCAGGTTCATACTGTAATTCTAACAGAAGGCTAGACACTCATAATTTGGTAGAAGAGAGAGAGAAGAATAGTAGAAGAGAGAAAAAAAGTTGCTGCTTGCACAAAAAAAGTAGAAAAAGCATAATTAACGCCGTTTGTACGGATTTAACGGAAGGGATTTAATTGATGCAAATTTTATTAAGTGAGGACGTAATTAACGCATTTTTTAAAGGATGGACTAATTTGACATTTTCGAGCGAACCTGGGGACAAAATAAGGTATTAAACCTTTTATTAAAATAATATTCTCTCTTCATTGATGAATTATTAAGGGTAATTTTGTAAATAATTAAATGTTTTTGATTATGTAATATTAATAAATTTGTTTTTATCCCTACACATTTTTAATGTATTTTTCTTACTATATTTTCCAAAATTTTAGTTGTAAATATTGTCTTACATACGTTTAATTATACACAATATCCCTATTTTTGGTAACCTTTTTTAACTAGGTTTCTCACTTTTTTTTGTCTTAATTGAGTTTTTATTTTTAAAAGTTGAAGCAATTAGGTCCTTATTGTTAGTTTTGTACTAATATAGTTAAAGAGGGTGTCACTCCGTTCGTAATTTTTTTTAATGTCATGTGCCAAACTAGCATTGTGACACATGACCACGTGTCATTGCATTAGTCTTAATTTGATCTCTGTATTTTTATTTTGTTTTAATTTAGTCTTATTTTTTTTTAAATTAAACTATTTTGTCCCTCCCCAAATTCAAACAAAATTTAATTTATATATAGATCTTTACAAATATTTTTATTAAATATTTTTAACAAGATTAAGTTTATTTGTATTTATATTTATTTAATTATATAAATGTTAATTATGTTATTAAAGCAGTTGTGAATAAGGATGAATCAAGAGTGTCAGTGTTTGATAGTAGAACATAGTTGTATATGATCAAGTCAACTCTCTAGTACTTCAAAGAGGATATAAGATTATGTAATCGATATCGGGAAGACTTTAGTTTGAAGTCAATGCTAGCTAAAGTTTTGGAAATAACTTATAAGAGTTAGTGGAAGACATTTGGGAGGTCAATTTAGTTTGACAGATACAAATTGTTTGATCCGGTATAAAAAAGATCCTTAAAAGATTAGGTTTGACGATTAAGGAGTTGTTTTAAGAGTAGTGACGAGACCAATCTACACTCTTGAACACTAGAGAATTTAGTGTAAAGGCAATGTTTTCAGTCAGTTAAGTGTTGATGATAATATCTCGATCAAGCTGGGTGTTTATGATAAGAAAGAATGCAGAGAGCATACTTTTCTTTTTACTTGATGAGTGAATTTTCGAGGATAAAATTTTTTCTTCTTGGGAAGAATGTAAAGACTTAGACTATGACAATTTAGAGGTGACAACGGTTTAAAAACAATGAAACTCAGTTATTTTTAGTATTAAATGATTTTAATATAAATAGTTTCGTTATGGACGAGTTTAATTATTTTAAAACATATCATCTCTCTAAAAATCACTTTTCTAGAGTTATCTGACTTCTCTCTTAGAGTTCTCACTCCCTGTTCATGTGTTTGAAGATCAGAGACCACCAAAGTGATCTCCACAGCAAGATCTTCAAGTCTAACTGATCAGTTTCTCAAACAAAGTAAGTTGGTTTTCTGCTCCTCTTTTTAGGTCTATTGCTTCTCCCATGTTAGCCCTTTTTGTTTTGCATGTAAAGTTTGAGTATTCTATAAGACTCTCTTCTGATTAGTGATCCTAACGATATATCCTGATCGTGCTTTTGTGGTTCATAGGAATAAATAGACCTTCATAAGCATTTGGAGCTAGTTTAGGCTTTTTAGAGCGATTTAGTCATCTATCAAGTAAGGGAAGCTAATTACCCTAATTTAAGTGTATGATGTGTTGAGAATCTGAGTTGCATGTTTGAGTTGCTTGAAATTGATTAAAATCCCCTGGTATTGGTGTTTGTGCTGATGAAATATGGCATGTTGAGTTGAGTTAGGGACTTTGAATCATTTTTAGTGATTGAATGTTGAAATGTTGGTATACTATGTGATTGAGATTGCATCTAAGGTGAATTGAGTCATTCATTCATGTTTAATCTAATGGTTGGTTGTTTTAGGCATGTACATTTTCTTTTGCATAAACATTTCCTCACTAATAGAGCTCGAGAGCAGTACTAGCAACAACACACAATGAAGTTTGATAGTAGATGACAATACATGACGAAGCTCGACGGTAGGACATGGTGGGTCTCTTAGGGTCTCAAACATCTTATGGGCTTTCTTAACCCTTTGATAATCCTCTTTAGCTTCTTTGGATGCTTGAGCTTGTATCTCTTTCAATTTGTCCAGAGTTTCTTAGCATGATTTTAGAGTCGTGACTACCATCAAAGTTCTTGCATATTGTCTTCTATCACTGTCCCAATACCAAAATCATCTTGCAACACTAAGTTAGTGAGGAAAAGAAAAACCAAATTGATGAAATGTGAAGTATATTAAAATTGAAATTACCCTTTTGTGCTATGCCTTTATGAAGCGTGAAATTATACCTAGCTCATACTTATTTCCCTCTTAAGCCTAGTATAATATAGTTTATAATATCTTTGTCTTAGTTAGCGTAGTTCTTTTAAAAATTTTGTTTTAAAATTTCTAGCAACTAGTTTTGTTTTTCCTTTTAATATGAGATAGTATAGTTTTTGGTAAATCGGTTCGGTTTGATTGGTTTGGTTTGGTTCAGTTTAATTTAGCTAGGCTTGGCTCGACTTGTGGCTCGTTTAGCTCGACTTGGTTCGGTTTGGTTTGGTTTAGTTTGATTCGGCTCAACTGAATTTAGTTTAGTTCGATTCGGTTTGGCTTAGCTGGACTCGATTCGATTCGGTTTGGTTCAGGTCAGTTCGGTTCGATTCGATTATGCTAGGCTAGGGTCAACTCGTTTGGCTCGGGTCAGCTCGATTTGTACGACTAAGTTCGGCTCGGCTTGGTTCAATTTAGCTCAGTTTGGTTCGATTCAATTCAGTGTGATTCGGCTCGGCTCGGTTCGGTTCGATTAGGCTCAGATCGGCTCGGCTAGTTCAGTTCAGTTTTGCTTGACCCGATTTGGTTCGGTTCAACTCAGCTCGGTTAAGTTCAGTTCGATTCAGATCGGCTCAATTTGGTTTAGTTCGGTTCAGTTTGCTTAGGCCTCGCTCGACTCGTTCAATTCGGTTTGGTTCGGTCGGGTTCGGTTTGTTTAAGTGCAGTTCGACTCAGCTCTATTCGATTCAATTAGTTCGGTTCGATTTGGTTCAGTTCGGTTTGGTTCGGTTTGATTCAAATAGGCTCGCTAGGCTTGTTCGGCTCGAATCAGTTCTGTTCGGCTCAGCTTGGTTCGGCTCGGTTCAGTTCTCTTTGATTATGTTCTTTTCGACATAGTTTACACTATCGTTATCACGTGACACTATGTTAGTTTGGCATGTGACAATTTTTTTTTAATTTAAAAAATAAAAAATTAAAATTAAAATTGTTAAAAGAAATAAAAAAAAAAACTACTAACTGGGACACCATTTTTAACCGTGTTAATGCATAACTAAGGACAAGACCTAATTGCTTCAATCTTTTAAAAAAATAGGAATCTTTAAAAAAGTAGGAATCCTGAGACAAAAAAATGTGAATAAAAAGTTACGAGAAATAGAGACTATGATTAAACCAAAATATTAATGTGACTAACTCCATTGTCACTTCGTGCCAACATGGAAATTGTATCTGACGTTTTGAAATTATTGTATTGTGGTGTCGATTGTTGATGCGGATTGAAATTTGAAATATTGGTATGTTTGTTTGTTAATAGTTTGTAATTTGGAGTTTAGGTTTGCTAATACTTGCATTTTCAGTTGAAATTGTATTTGATTTTCCTATTGACCTATATCTGAAGATAATTTATGAGCACGTAAGCAGTTGCTGTTAAGTTGGACTATTCAATAGACTTTTGTTAGTCTTGGTTCATTCAATGAAGAGAGCAAAGTCCTTCACATTTTGGTGTCTATGGAGTAACTTTCCCCATGATTTATCTATTTCTTTTAAATTTATATGGAACCAAATCAATGTTGTTTGATATCTGGCGGGAGAATGTGAGTATGTTGCTTGGTTATCTGTAATTATGTACTCGCTTCTCGTTCAGACATGTTTTCACTTTTTTAA